GAGAGAGGGTAGAGAGAGAGAGAAGAGAGAGAGGGTAGAGAGAGGGTAGAGAGAGAGGGTAGAGAGAGAGGGTAGAGAGAGAGGGTAGAGAGAGAGGGTAGAGAGAGAGAAGAGAGAGAGAAGAGAGAGAGGGAGAGGGAGAGAGAGAGAAGAGAGAGAGAAGAGCAAGAGAGAGAGAGACAGGGAGAGAGAAGAGGGCGAGAGAAGAGAGAGAGAGAGAGAAGAGCGAGAGAGAAGAGCGAGAGAGAAGAAAGAGAGAGAAGAGCAAGAGAGAGAAGAGCGAGAGAGAGAAGAGCGAGAGAGAGAGAAGAGCGCGAGAGAGAGAGAGAGCGAGAGAGAAGAGCGCGAGAGAGAGAAGAGCGCGAGGGAGAGAAGAGCGCGAGAGAGAGAAGAGCGCGAGAGAGAAAAGAGCGCGAGAGAGAGAAGAGCGCGAGAGAGAGAAGAGCGCGAGAGAGAGAAGAGCGCGAGAGAGAGAAGAGCGCGCGCAAGAGAAGAGCGCGCGAGAGAGAAGAGCGCGCGAGAGAGAAGAGCGCGCGCGAGAGAAGAGCGCGCGCGAGAGAAGAGCGCGCGAGAGAGAAGAGCGCGCGAGAGAGAAGAGCGCGCGAGAGAGAAGAGCGCGCGAGAGAGAAGAGCGCGAGAGAGAGAAGAGCAAGAAGAGAGAAGAGCGCGAGAGAGAAGAGCAAGAAGAGAGAGAGAGAGAAGAGTGAGAGAGAGAAGAGAGAGAGAGAGAGAGAGAAGGTTGGAGTTGAGCAGGAAGAGGTAGAGATACAAGTGGGGAACATGCTGCAAAGATGTACCCTTTATCAGAAGAAGAAAAATCTGTGTGCACAAACACATACTATGGAGAATGGTCACTCGGGGGGTTAAATGTATAAAGTCTGAAGACTCGTCACTCAGAAGTTAATTCATGTACAGTGGAGAATGGTCACCAAGGAGTTAAGGGGCAAACACTGATGAATGCAAATATAGTGCTGGTAAGAATACCGGCTTAGAGTAAGCATTTCATTGATAACCAGGATACTGGGGAGTGAGGTTGAAATGTGGATCTCATTGCTGATGTGGGTGACCCACACTAGAGAGCTCGTCAATGGCTAAAATCCACCAGGTACCCAGAGCACTTACCCACTCCTCCAGCGTTGCCCCTTTGCTGGTAAAAATGCTGCAAAATCGCACCCACCAGCAAGAAAGCACTTATACCTCGCTGGTTTGACTGGTGAGCGAACAATGCCCTATGAGAAAATGAGTGTTCCCCAGTTGGCTGTAGTGACAGGATCGCTAGTGAGACCTTGGCCTAACCCAACTTGCTTATGATGCATCATGAAATCTTAGGTTGTTTTTTCTTCGTTCAGATTCACCCAAGCATGCTATGTGGATGAGGAAAAAGAGCCACACAGAAACAAAGTTAATAAAATTGTTTTGTCCTTGTGCAATGTAGGCATGGGACACTCTAAAATGACAGTCCATTCACAAAAAGGTTTGTAGATTTCATCAGGAAAAATGATAATGTATGTTGTATGTTGTATGGCCATTTTAGATCTAACAATTAGCTGAATTGTTCATGATGTACTCACTGCTTCCATCTCGGTTTTTCTCCTTCAAACATCCTACTCGGGTAATACATCTTATACAATATCATGTGCTTATCATTAGGTCTAGTTTATTTATGTGCTCAGATTGGTTGTTTTGGGTCCATCAAAAAAGGCAGCACAGTAACAGGATGTTTACCTCTGTAATTCCACACAAGAGTCTGATACAATTATGTCAAGAGCACAATTTAGAGTCCCTCTGGCAATGCTGGAAAATATGAAAAAATGCTACAGCCAAAAATATTGCTGTGTATGAATGTATGCCCTAGGATAACTGATGGAATATCACCAATGACATAATGGAGGGAAGCAATGCTGAGCATTAAGCTCCATCAGACTCAATACTTGGAAATCTAAAAAAAGGTTTCATATGAAATGGTCTAAGCAACGGAAGGCTTTTTGATTGTTTTCATTTTTTATAAATGCTACCTCACTATACCCTGCCTGGTTAGAATGTCTCACTGATACCGCAAGCTCAGCTCCATAGAAGTAGCAGTTTCCATGTATTGCGCTGATGATGGCTAACAAGCCTAACGTAGCTGTATGCAGCCTGGTTAAAAAAAGACAGAATTTGTTCTGTAAACCATGGGTCCTGCTTCTCAGTTAGCCTTGGGGCAAAAAGCAATGGTTTGCATGGTTTGGACCAATATCCCAAAATAAGAAATAAGCCCCCTATTTCTTTTGTAATAAAAAGCTCTACTATAATTTGTACTGGTTATTTAAAAAAAAAAGGCCTTTAGAGTGAGTCTGCAATCTTATTCTACAATATTTCTATGACAGAATTTGACTTAAAGAAGAAATCCAGGAATTAACAAAGTTAACCCTTGCAGTGGGGCTACCACCACACTGCGAGGGTTAACTGCTCGTTTTGGTCTAGGGGCGGGGGATCCTCAATCCCGTCTGGCTGGTAGACCAGTCCCTGCAGCCTCTTTTTCCTTGGGCTCCGGCAGTCCAAGGATCTGTGATCTCAACACATCTAAAGCAGGTCCATTCTCCTGTATTAGACGTGAGGACGTCGAGGGACATACCACAGTGAGTTCTGACCACTGCAGGACCGAGGATATCAGGTGAGCGTATCTTTTGTATTCCAGCCCCTAGAGAAAAACAAGCAGTTAACCCTTGCAGTGTGTGTGTGTGTGTGTGTGTGTGTGGGGGGGGTGTAGCCCTACTGTAAGGGTTAACTTTGGTAACTCCTGGACTTCTTTAAATTTCAAGCAGCCAGTTAGGTCTGATTACTCTGATTTACGAGTTGGAAGAATTCTCCAGTGAGAACAGGATGCTGCAATCCCCTTTTAATAGATCTAATGATGATGCTAATATAATATAGTATTGGAATACCACCCTGTACATCAGCACACAGGCCAAAAATACATTTCAAGGATCTCCAGCAAACATTACCGCAGGGTGTTACCAGCTGCCGTTTTCGTAAATAGAGTTAACAATTAAGATTCCAATTAAAATCCTGCTGTTTGTAGTCTCTTATTATTACTTAAAGTCAATTTCAACCTTTGTAAGTGATTAGCATTTATGGTGGCAGTGATGATGTACCTATTTTCATGACTCACATTGCAGGCTTTCTTAATTTTTTTAATGAATTTATTATTAGGCCTCAATCCTACAAATTCAAACATTTCTCCACAGGAAAATCAGTCGAACACCAGGGTGTTAGGTTGTAATCATGTACCCCCCTCCATGTCACCCACTGTAACATGATCAGTAAACACCACCTCTGCCTTTGCACACAATACTCCTTCAAACATCAGGAAGAGGGGGGGGGGGATATACACACATTGCTTGCACAGCACCACAGCACAGAGGCAGACATTTCCATGGGGATATGAAGAGGAAAGCTATCAAATAATGCAAGTCTCTGTGTTTATATACATCACCTGCATATGCCTGCGTCATGTACACTTGGTGTACATTAAAGGCACATGTTTTAAAAAAAATACCTCTGCAAAAGGTGGAAATGGGCTTTAAGGGTTATCTAGAGGCAGAGCCAGCTGTACCCACCCCCTCCCCCATCCGTTCCGCCAGTAAGCGCTGGAAGATCGGACAGTGGTAGGGGAGGAATCTCTGCAGGGAGCCGTGAGTGACTGTTATGGCTCTCTGCAGTGACAGGATTGAGAAGTGAGCGAGCAAAGGTATGTGTTCGCTCACTTCCCGATCAATTGAGCCGAACTGTGACAACGAAACTGTCACAGGTCGGCTCAATTGATCGGGAAGTGAGCGAACACATACCGTGATTTTCACTCGCCTCATAGTTCTCCTTTAACAATAATATAGGTTCCAAACACTTACCATAAACTAATTGTGTTTAGTTTTGCAAATGACATTGTATATGTTTAATAACGGACGCAATCTTACCCTTCACACTTGGCTTGCATGACCTGGATTTCCTTAATAACTGGAACCAACTCTGAACCCATCTCTGGTGTCCCCAAAATATTCCAGATCCGATGTTTCAGAAGTGATAGCTGCAGCTGCTGCATATGAACATTTTCTTCGAAGCGTTCAATCTCCGCAAAGGAGTTCTGGAGGTGAGGAGTTCTCTGTCTGACTTCAGGCCTGTCCAAAACCTCTTCCTGGCAGTTATCCAGAAGTATAACCTCCCGTTCCAACTGAAAAACAAAGTAATAATGGTTTTCTTCTATGTGGTCTATCTAGTTATCCTAAGTTGCTACTTATTTTCAATGACAAATGTATCTAATGCACCAAAAACAATGTTCAACAAATCAAGTTACTAGATGAGCTAGAGAAGGCCAAGCCAGGGATACATTGAAGTACTAGTGGTTTGCTCATTCAATGTCATACACAATTTAGCTTTTAATCACTTCAATAGCTCAGACATCTCAACTCTCGCGGATATTCCGGGAGTCTCCCGCTATAAGATAGCGGCTCCCGGACACCCGGGAAAGAAACATCTTCTCCCTGAAAGGTTTACTCTGCTTATCAATCGGAGTAAACCTTTCCCTGCTGGTTTTTTTTTCTCTTCTTGACATCAGGGCTGCCGTTGGTCGGGGGAAAAAAACAGCATAGGAATGAATAGCTAGATTGCTATTGGCTATTTCTATTTCAAACCAAGGGGGCTCAGAAGTACAGCAGGGCCATAAATGGCTTCACAGCGAATTATGCTGGTCGCAATAACATGTGGCAAATACATCTAAAATATCGTTTGGGAATGCCTATACGTTTTCTAAGAAAGCCTTTGGTATTCTGTATCACTAGGGGAGATGCCTTTGGGATGGAATGTACATAAAAACAAATTGCTGTGGGACCCCATAGGTTTACATTACAAACACTTGAAAACCAAGAACGGCAACACTTTAAGCTTTAAATTACCAGCTCGCTGATGAATTTCCACTCCTGCTTCAGTTCATCACAGTAGAGCTCCAAATTTCTAGCGATGCCCAGCACATACAACCACCTGTCCCACAATGAGGACACCATTTTCTCAAGCAGCTCAGCATAATCATCATTGCTTGCACTCAGGCCTCTAGATATCCACTGGAGTTCTTGCAGCTCTTCTTCGTAGGACTGAATTTTTGCCATTAAATTCTGGAAAGCATTGGAAAGAAAAAAAATGTTGCAATGTTAACATACACATAATGCCTAATTTAACAGCATACAACAAATATCTCAAGAGTGTCTCCCCTTTCAATCAGATACTAGTATACTAAACACCAACTAGCTCTAAACCAGAAGTGAGGAAACTTGCATTGCCTCAGGAGATTTGTTGTTCCACAACAGCTGGAGGGCTAAACCACTGCTCTAAACTAATTAAAGCCATTACATGGATTGGTTACATTTAGGCCTTGTACAAAAAGAGCTTCAGCTTATTTAAGTGTGTACAGCAAGCTTTTACAAAGCTTCCAACCAGCTTCAGGCAATTTCATGGAAGCACCTTTCAGCTCCAGTCTGAGGAAGTTAAACATATATCATAATGGAAGTGCTGGTTGTTCCTTTAATCAAGCTGCTTACAGGCTTTAGTAAGCTTTGGAAGTACTTGTACTTGAAAATTGTTTAAAGCCTGCTGACGCCTGCAAAAGGGACAATCCCTAAACTAGAGCTGAAGGTTGCTTAAAAACCTTCCACAAAGTTCCTCAAAGTTGTGCATATAAATCAAAACACAAACAACAAATATGTTATTACACACGTTTCTGCAAAAGTTAAACTGTATGTATAGCCCAAACTAGTTCTGGATAGAGTATGGAACGGATAGAACATATCTCAGTTTATTTTGTTTGCCGTCTGTGGGGAAATGTCCCTTCAATTCCTGCCCCTAAAAAGCTGTCCGTGGGGAAATGTCCCTTCAATTCCTGCCCCTAAAATGCAACAGGAAGTTAGAGGAAATCTCCCAGTGAGAAGTGAGAAGAATTCCCCTCTTAGACATGTGTCCCCACTGGAAGATTTCACCTCTTATTTTTGGGACAACTCTAAAATATTGCATTTCTCATCACTTTCTTCTCAGTGACAAAGGTCAGCAGTACAAACAGAGGGGTGAATCTCCCCAGTGAGGACACATACAGCAATATAAACTTAACAGCGGGTCTAAACCTTCCCCGAACCATCTAAAACTTTAAAAAAAAGGTTTTGTCAACAGATAAACTTTATTCTGCTTTTAATAAATCATACAATCAAGGTATATCTACTGAAGTCTATCTGTCTGAATATCTATTTCTGTGACTTTAGTTGGGCTTTAAAAGGGGTGGACAGGATAGGAAAGGGTTCCCAGCTGATGACAGCCCCTCTTTAAATTGTACTACTACCTATCAAAGTGAAGTGTCAAAAGAAAGTATCCCAAATATTGTTCTACAAAATCCAATAGCTATGAACCCAGTGCCCCGGCGTAGTGATCTTCTGTATAAAATCATACAATAATTTTTTTCAGGAAGGTCACTCCATCATAAGCACACATTGAGTTTATGAACCCTACTTTGCTTTTCTCCCACTGTTCCAGAGCTGCCTTATAGGATGCTGGCTTCTGAAGGAAGGAATCTCCGATAACAACTTCCATTTCCTCAAGTCCTTTAAGTATCTTCTGCTTCTTATTTTTGAAGATCTGATATTTCTCTTCATAGCTATGGAATTAATAACACAAACACAATTAACACCATGAGCAAATTACTTTGCATAAAGTATACTCTTTCAAATAGTATCTGCAAAGTGAACCAATGCCTATGTAGAGAAGACCTACCTCACTGGACACAAATTGAATGAGTTGTGTCGGTAGATGCTATGGCTACATAGTTGTTGGTAAACCTTAAAGTGGGCCTAGCATTAGAAATATGTTTTCATATGAAGTGCAGGTAAGGTGTCAGTGTAACACTTAAAAGTTATTTTCCACTTTCACAGCCAAATTGGAATAACACCTATTTTATATGTTACATGTTCCTATTCACATTGCATAAGCTAAAACAAAAAAAAATGCTCCTTGCAGTTTAAATTTCTTTTACATGGGTTAGGGTTTTAAGGGTTAACATTTCTTCTTGTTTGTTTCTTTTAAATGCTAGGAGGGGCTGTGAGGGGTGAGGGGGTGTTGTCTATCCAGAGTTGGCTTGTCCGTTGTATGTTAATGAAGCTTATCAGATAAACACAATCCTCAAATTTCAGTCCCAAGTCTTTCTATAAAGGACAGATCACTGTGAAAGGGCTAAGAAAAAACCTGGAATCAGACATCTTGCCAGATTTAACAAAACATCTAAAAAGGTCAGTACGTTGTGTGAATAGAAACACATAATGAACATATGAAGGGGTTTTCCTAACTTTGACTGCAAAAGTGGAAATACACTTTAAGGCATTTATTACCTCTCAGAGTTCACGGTACTCCTCCTGACAAAGCCTATATCCTACTTTTCTTTCCGGAAGGATGGAGGCATTCATGGTCAGCATCTATTTCCTGGACTTAGATAATGATCCAGAGATAACACAATCATGTAAATCCTGGTGTCTGTGCATAGTTCTTGTATGTGTTCACAAATGTTGGACAGAGATCAGCTTCTGCTCCTTTGTGACAGCTACAGAGTAACAATGTAACAGTCTGATCAGTGTTTAATACTGATCAGGAATGCAGGGAGTTGCATAGTACATGGCTGAATGGTTTTACTCTTAACCGCTGCCACTATGAAATATACAAACCGCACACAAGGAGAATTGCACTTTCTTCTTTTTGTAAAAACTACCTCACCTAAATTGCCCCCTTCGACTAATTTGGTAGGAATTAACAAGTGAATAAAACACTTCCAGCCAGGGCCGGACTGGCCATAGGGCAAACCGCCACTTGCCCGGTGGGCCGGGCCGGCCAGAAGACAATCAACCTGATTGTGTTCGGGCCGGTTTGCTATGCCTGATGGTCGGCTCTTAGCAGAGCCGTCACTACTACACAGTAGACACTAGAGGGAGCTGGTGGGGGAGGCCAAAAAAACACTTCCTCACCCCGCTCTCTCTAGTCTCTACTCTGTGCTCTCCTCTCCGGAGCTGCCAGCGCTTTTCCTGTCCCCTGCCCCGGCCGCGATATTTACATATGTATGGGCCGTGGTGATTTGCATATCAATAAGCCACGAACCATTCATATGTAAATATAACGGCTAATTCATATGCAAATCAATGTCGCCGCCCCCCCCCCTTACTAGTGGCCGGCCCTGCCCCTCAATTGCGCTTCTGTGTTTTGCTCCGCCCCCTGTTGGTGGTCACGTGATTGGGCTGCTCAGTCTAAAATGCCCGGGCCTATTTTTAGTCCCAGTCCGGCCCTGCTTCCAGCTAATGAACTGTACTCATGAACTTCCACATCTCATTTTAGGTGGATGTAAGGACTAACCTGGCCAATATGGATTGTTTTCTTTCCCGGATTCCTGCCAATTCATAGTTCTTGTTGCAGATTTGACTCAAAATATCATCCAAGTCTCTCTGATTTTCTGTACTACACACTGATTTCAGCTGATCAGCGATATTCTGAATTTTGGCTATGGCAACATTTAGCTCTACTTCTTTGCAATCCAGGGTCTTCGTTTTCTCATCTGAGCTACTCAGAGCAAAATGATGCTTGTGTAACTTTTCTTCATATTGTCTGAAAAGTTCAGCTACTTTGGTGATGGCTTTTTGCATGTTCTGAAGGATATTATACGTCTCGTTAGTGACTACCTGTTAAAAAAAACAAAACAAAAAAAAACATGGCAATGTCAATTTTGTTTTTTTTAATGTGGAAAAAGACACGCATTCAAAGCCATGTCCATGTCAGTTGTCCTAAAGGAAACCTGTATGGTTGGAACATCTAGGCTGCCATCTTTCCTTCTCAAAATGCTAATTTCCTCATTGTTACGCTTTTACTTTACAAGACGTTAAAAACATTGCATTGGGACTTTTGAGGTACCCCAAGAATTGACTTGGATAGAGTAAAATATTCTGGGAGAGACTTATGTAAAAAAAACATTTACAACATTTAGGAATTTATGAGAAGATGCAGCTAGCTTACATATGATGAGAGATGTTAATGATATTTTGAGGTGTTTTGAGATGTTTTGAGGTACCCCAAGAATTGACTTGGATAGAGTAAAATATTCTGGGAGAGACTTATGTAAAAAAAACATTTACAACATTTAGGAATTTATGAGAAGATGCAGCTAGCTTACATATGATGAGAGATGTTAATGATATGCATATCAATATGATCTTGGGTGTCAATTGGATAGTTTTAAAAATGCAAATAGGGTTTATGTGTTTTTTTTTAAATGACATATCATTGTGCAAGTCAATTCTTGGAGTATCTCAAAAGTCCTATTACAATGTTTTTTACTTCTTGTAAATTTTGACATTTGGATGTGGTACCCAAAGTAAAATAACAACGCGATTTCAAAATAAGACAAAATGTATTTTTTAAATGCACATACCGGCAGTAAAAGTACCCGAATTAGACTTCATATCAGCCTTTTAGCACTCAGACTGGCAAAGAGGAGAAGAGGGGCAGGACTGAGAGCCAATCAAGTGTGCTGCCTGTAAATATGCTGATAGGAGGGCAGAGTGGAGTGAGCAGAGGGGGGAGCTCATCACTTTTATGCTGCTCCTTCACCGTTCTTTTACTGTCCGGCCAGCAAGTCAAGGGTAGAAAGAGAACACTATTATATGCTCCTTAACTGTAAATGGTATAATCTACTTATTAGGCTGAGTTATGGGGCTTGTTAATCTCAGCACTGGATAGACAGAAATACAAATTCATGTTTTACCCTTTTCAGGTAAAACACCTCCAATAAATGCTTTTTATCTGAGTATTTAGCTGTTTATCTGGAGTTGAGCTTTAAGATTAGATCCACTTTAAAATTCTCATGCTATAAGATTGACTAATTTTTATAACCAATGGTCAAATTTCTAGGCTGTCAAAGACAACTCACTCATCTGTTATGATGTAATATATCACTACTTACAATATGCTCTGAAAGTTTCTTCTCAATTTGTTGGCCAGTATTCTTTACTTCCTGCAGATGTTCCCTGAGGTCAGATGGACGTGATGACACCGATGATAAACCTTGTACCTCTGCTTTGCTTATATCCCCAAGAGCTTCAAGTCTCAGTAGCCTCTCTTGCAATTTGTTCTCATCCAGTTCATTAACAAATGACTCCTGGAGCTCTTGGTCAATTCTATTTAAAGTGCGCACGGCTTGCTTCACTTGATGTGGAGAATGTTTCTGCCGCTCATAGTAGTCAGTTACCAGCTGGCTGAGAGCTTGGTATGATCGCTCCATATTTTCTGCTAAAGCAGTTAATGACTGTTCTTCGGCTCTGATAGAGTCCACACTAATAGTCTGTTCAGAATGTAACCAGCCTACGGCCTCTGCAAATAAATCGCGTATTTTCTTTATTTTTTTACATGATACTTGAGCAGCTATAACATCAAAATTGGCTGCAATAGGGACAGACTCTTTTTGTAGGGAACAAACCATTGTTCTGATTTTTTTCAACAGCTCTTGGTAATGTCCTTGCTCTGGTCCACAATGTTCTGAGTGACCACTTCTCTCTGTAAAGCTTAAACAATTCTTCTGTAAGTCATCAATGGTTAAGCCATCCCAGTGAAGCCTGTTATCCTTGAATAAGTCCTTATATCTCAATATCTGAGGCAAGTGATCTTCAGATGATGAGACGGCATTTTGGGAAAGTTGTAATTTCTTTTCAGAAACTTCCCCGTCTAGTTCCGAAGCCTCTTCGCACATTTTCAGTTCAATGGGCTGTGATGCATTCAAATTCTGATGGAGGGAGGTCAACCTTTTTTGAAACTCGTTACAAATACTTAGCAATTTTTTGGTGTAACAAAATGTATTTTCCTCTAGTCTTCTTATCCTTCTCGCCTTGGACTTAAGACTTCTTAATATATCATTTAAATATAACTGCTCAGAGCTTTTTAGCTCACTATGATAGATCTGGCTGTTTCTTAGAAGTGTCAAGACCAGACCTTCAATTTCCTCCATTTCTGTGGTTTTGGCCTTTAAGCAATTTAGCTGTTCACATAGCTCTGTTGCAGTAAATATTCCTCTTTTGACTGGAGTTGCTTCTTTCTCTAGACACTGCAGTAATTCTTTGAGCTTTTCAATTTCTGAAAAAAGTGCTTTCCTCTTTTCCCATCCTATCTCCAACTGCTGCAATCTTGAGGTTGATTGTATAATCTGATCCCGATATAATTCCTGCAATTGTTGTAAGAAAGAGCTAAAGTCTTTGGACATGGCTCCATCAAAGCTTACAGAGATGTGCTTTGACTCTCCAATGGCAGAGTCTGTAGCAGAATTTCTGTCCACTATTTCTTTGTGCGCTTTTTTGTAAGTTGTGGTCTGTCGCTCTATATCTCCCAGCAGAAGTGCAATACCCTTTTCAGCGTTAGACTTGTCTTGTGATTTCTTCACCCACAAGAGTGAACTGTATAAAGGTTTTAGAGATGGGTACTGTTCTAGGAACGCATCTGGCGTCTGACACCGAGTCAGCTGACGGTCTTTCACACGTTCTTCAAGATTTTCCAGTTCGCTCTGTAAATTATCCAATGAGTTTTCCAGGTCTTGTCGCTCATTTCCGCTCCATGTTCTTTTCATTTGCAAGTCACATGTATTTCTTGACATATTAAACCAATGTTTAATGGCTTGTATGTCTGCAAAAAGGCCCAGCGATGCGTTGACCACATCTTCGGAGGAAGGAGAGGGCTGATCAAGCAGGTCTTGCTGGACCTGAATGATGCTCCGAACATCATCCACTCTATCCTTAAAAGCTGCTAACTCTTCAGCTTCTTTAGTAAGGCGATCACATTCCCTATGGGTACTGAACTCCATCTGTTCCCACAGATCTTCTATTTGGCTCACTTCATTGTCCATTATGTCCTTGCCTTTGCTTGATATCCCTAAGTGATCAATATTACACTGTTCTGCCTTCAGAATGTGCAAGTTAACTTTTTCTTTTTCCACTTGGTCACGGAACTGTTTAATTTTGTCCAGCTGACTTATAAGGCTCTCAGTGGGTATCCTGGAATTAACAAAAAAGCTGGATTAAATGTCTTAAACAGGGCAAATCTTCAGATGCAAACAAAAATGTGATATCCATTTACTACTTTCCATATTATCTAAGATATATTTTTTTTGTTACGCAGAATTTTTGCATGTTTTCTTAAGGGAATATTGCAAATAAAACACTTAGAGAATTATGGGGAGAGTGAAATACATTCATACCCATAATTAAAGTTGACGTGTAATGCTGCAGGTGTCATAGGTCAGCACTATTGATTGGGAACTGAGCGATCATATAGCCCTCAAATCGCTCAGTTCCTCATCCTCTCCCTGCAGAGAGTGGTGACTGTCAGTCACAGCTCCCCGCAGGGATTCCCCCCGCCTCTCCATTACTCCAGTGCAGACTGGAAGAACGGACAGGGGAGTGGCGGGCAGCAGGGTGGATCCCGACAGCTCTGCTCTGTAAGCATATAGCATATAGCTACATGCTGAGTTTTAGGTCAAAGGAGGACGTTAGTATAGGTCCTTCTGTGACCCTAAAAAGAGACACAGTACAAATTGGTTTACATTTACAGAAGAGCTCCAGGAGTTATATCTGAAAAATATATAACTTGCCACCGTGCTGCCCTTGTGGAGATGTAGCTTTCCTAAAACTGGGACTGAACCATGCAATTTTTTACAATGGATTTTTTTGCTGCAGTAGAAGTCAAAGGGGCCACTATTGCAGCCACTTATTCCACTCAAAGAATTGCAGGGACAAAAAACAAAACTGTAGGGAGTGCACAGACAGAAGAAAGCACTGGACTACGGGTACGACTTTACTCTGGTCTCAGTTTTAGGAGTGCTATTTCTTGTAAAGGACAGCACAGAGGTAAAAATAATCAACACTTTACCCGTACCGCCTGCTGTTCTTTTCAGAGGTAATTAATGGAATGCTCCTTTAACATAGAATTACTGCTCCCAACTGCAGCTACATGGTTGCAATGTGACTTGTCTGCATTTGTCCTGCAGAACATGCAATTCCAAGAATGCTCACAAGCAAGGCAATGGGGTTGATTTCCTGAATGAAAATAGGCTGTTCACTTTGCAAGGGCATTTTCAATTTGTAGGGGAGGTTTCCCTTCAGCTTAATGAATGAGGTGAAATTCTCCTGACTTCCATCATCCAATCATACGTAAGCAAAAATACAATTTTCTTGCATGTGATTTGGGTATTCCTTTCAAAAGGGAAATTTCTTCACATTTAGTAAGCTAAGGGGAAATGTCCCCTGCAAAGTTCCAATACCCTTGCAAAATGCACAGCCTAATTAACTTTATTGAATCAACTACAATGTCGCACAGAAAGTAATGTGGCTTAAGGAATCTTCCCCATGCTTTAGTCAATTTCACGCTGTCAGGGCAATAATGTAACTTACAAAATTTTGCTCCAGCAATGCCTATTAAAAGTACCAGTCTCCTTTTTGATGGGAAGAGGAAAACTACACTTTGGTGGAAAGGATTTCCAAAAAGGTTTTTTTGAGCAATAATGACCACTTCTGATAACTGTATGAATTGTAATTTAACCGTTTCAAGTATTGGACAATTTTGCTCTCACTTTGCTTGCAAAAATTGTCCTGTGTCTTGGACTTGATTAAATAACAAGCTAGAATAGGATTCATCAACATGTGCTAGAACTGAAAAATTAGCATTCACTGATATCAGTATTCTCAGAAAAGCACCTGGATTTTTTAAAATGTGTCTAAAAGGGCAACAATGCTCTATGATATTTTAGGGAATGAGGTATTAATTATAAAAAGTAATAGTAATAAAGATTATGCTTGGTGGATGTGTGTTCACTAGCATTATGCACTGCACATGGAATTATTACACACACACACACAGCAGGATTCAATAACAGGCCACTAAGTAGCCTGTAGCCTAACTAGTGATGAGAGAGTCTGCCAAATAAGTTGGACAAAAATATGGCACATTTAGGAAAAAAAATGTAGCTAAACTCAAAATTCGAACTTGATTTGAAGTCAATGTAGGACCATCTCTTGCATTAACCTTTTAATCTTTGGAGGGCAAACAAAACAACACTCACTCAGTTGGTGGCTATGGGAGGCTTCCCATGCCATTTTTGTGACAGTAGCTTGCACCTCTCTGAAGAGCCAAAAATTATGGTCAAAGGGCCCAAAACTATTCCCCAATGACGAATACAATTCAAAATTAAAATTGGAATCTGAATTTGAACTCAGGAAAATCGAGTTAGATTTGAGTTTGACCAAAATTCAAACCTAACAAATAATAATAATAAAGCCTACCTCATTATGCTAGAACACAATTATTGGCTAACTTAAGCTGTGTGTACTTACCAGTTGCCCTAGTGGGTGTTTGTTAATGATAGGCAGAGTTATAAAAAAAAATTTAAAGACAGAATACAACATTTTGGTCAAAGCAAATAGCATTTTCATCAAATGTGCAACAGATGAGCAAAAAATACTACAACTTACATTTTCAGATTTTCCTTCTCCTTGCACAACATTTGATATGACTCTCTAGCAGCACTTAGGGCACCCTGGAAGCTCTTAAGTGCTTGGCATAGTATTTTCTTTTCAGTTCTGAATGTAGTTAGTTCATTCAGCAGATCTTCACACTTTGACAGTAAAAGCTCTGAGCCTCGGCTATCACCATCCCTGGTTTCCTGAACTGCAGGCTCTTGAGACCGTATTTGTGAGATTTCATTATAGAGCTTCTAAAGTGGAAAATGGAAGAAAGAAAATATAAAATAAAACCTCCTTTTTATAACGTATCTATAGACTTAACAGAAAAACTATGTTCTCCGTACAGAATAAAGAAGATTACTATGGAGAGGTAAAATACTGTGTGTAACGGTGATTTCTTGTTTGGCCAAAATGATAATTCTGTATGAATAGGAAATACTAAAAAATTATTTGGTACCAAAAACTAATAACTCAGAAATTCATTGGGCTTACCAGAGGTTCAAAAAATGTATCTTGGAATTGTAGTAGACTACAAAAGTGCAGCAGAAATCCATAACTAGGCTTTGGTAATGCCTTCCTCTCCAGATTGCACACATTTACAACATCAGAGTTCTGATAGCATACAGGAGGGACAAATATCACAATCCAGGGACTTGTGTCAATGGGCAAAACCAATGTGCTTTCAAGTGCATTTGACTTGCAGCTGACTTAATTTTGACATGCGTAGTAGATCATTCAGAATCAACTGACACGTGCATCTGACCTCCTTCTGACCTGCATTCAACCTTCTAAATGGCATCTTACTGCTTTAAGCTGATGTTGCATTCTTATTGATTTGTATGGGGAGAACAGATCAACACAGGCTAATTCAGTCGCAAATGAAAACATATCCCCTTGGGCAGTAATAATAGTGGTCTTCTACTGTTTGCTAATAAAGTAGTACCACTATGCCTTAGAACACTCATATACTCCCAATAGGTGCAAGAAATGCAAGAAATTCAAGCACTGCTTACAACAATTATGAGGATCAAAACATTCACTACTGCTTGATATTTCTCCAAAATTATGAAAAAGTCTCTGAGCAAATATTCTTGGCTTTTTCCCATTGAGGAAAGTGAAGAAAGAAAGCGCATTTAAGTTTGTCAGATAATAATAATAAATATAAGCAATGTATTAAAACATTGTACCAAAGAATAAAAAACCTTGAAGAGCAATATAAAAATGATCAATCCTAGAGTTCCTTCCAAATTAACAGAAACATACTGACGCTGCTGGATTTGGTGTGGGTATCCGAGCTTAAATAGCCTCTGATCACCAAAGGGTTAAAGGTGCCCATAGAGGGTGGCTGGATGTGCAGTAATAATCCCAGGGATAGTCAACTTTGCACTTCAGCTTTGCCCTATTCATTGCCTCTAGATAATCCCGAAGAGGTATTATCAATGAATACAAAGGTCAAAATACAATATCAAATATCTGTTGTCATCACAAATAATGCGTAAATAATTTGGACAACCTAGTTACAACATATCAACATCCAGAAACACTGTTACTCCACTGATAATATGTGATAATATGCAGGCTGGTATATATCACCTTAAAAGGAGAACTATGGGGTCAGGGCTTTTCCCCATAGTTCTCCTTTATATGTTTCTTTTAAAAAAAGTTCTTGAAAACGGCAATTGCAGTTGCAATGGGAAACAAAATACATTCCTCCTTTGCTTTGAGACACACATGTTGAATTTTGGTTTTATGCTGCCCTAAAACTACCCCATAGATCCTGCACAATCCACCTCAGACCTTGCAGAGCCCACGATAGACCACGCATAGCCTACTTGAGACCTTGCAGAGCCCACCACAGACCCCACACAGCCCATCATAGACCCCGCATAGCCTTCCTGAGATCTTGTAGAGCCCACCACAGACCCCACGTAGCCCACCTGAGACCTTGCAGAGCCCACCACAGACCCCACACAGCCTACCATAGCCCACCTGAGGCCTTGTAGAGCACACCACAGACCTTGCATAGCCCACTACAGACCCCGCATAGCCCAGCTGAGACCTTGTTGAGACCACCACAGACCCCGCATAGCCTACCATAGACCCTGACAGCCTACCACAGACCACCATAGACCCCGCAGAGCCCACCTAAAACCTTGTAGAGCCCCACACAGCCCACCACAGACCCAGCAAAGCCCCTTTCCCTGCACACATGTGCTCCTCTACTTACCTGAAGCCCCCCCAGCCTGATTCCGGTCAATTACTTTGGTTACCAAGTGTACCCCATTTTAGATCATCTTGTGGAAAAAAAAATACAAGTATTTCCAATTTAAAATGCGGTTTTACCTCAATGCCTTCAATGTACTGCTCCAGTTCAGTCACGCTTAATATAAGTGGATGTTTCTGGAAACTTTTGATTTCTTCCTCCCACTTTGCAATGTACAATCCTTCTGGACTCCGTTCAGACTCAATTTTATCATCTTCCCGTACACAAAGGAGCTGTAGGATGATAGAGAAATGTGCAAATACACAAGAAACACAAAAAATAAGTTTGGAGCTCTTTGTGACCTCATTTGCATATGTTAAAGCAAAAGTCCATCCAAATCTATTATTTCAGTTGTTGGTACATGCTGGAGAGCTAGACCACCTGACAATTTCTTATATCTTTCGGCTACTTTATTGGTGGAGCTGGAACATGCAATGGTGGGTGGGAATATCTGAAATTTGCACGCAGATAGGTGAGAATTATGGCAGAAAGATATTGACGTTAGAGTATCCGAGATATCCCACTAGGCTCTACCTATAAAATATCCTAGTTGAGTAAACTGACTTTTAAAATATGAGGTTTTTTTTATGAGGCTCATTTCACCGGAATTAAGGGATATCTTTCTTTAGGCTTTATGGGATTTTCCTGTCTAAGGCAATGATTTACTTCCCAGTAGGAAGCATTATGGTTCTTCTTGTTGCGCCACATAAAAAACTGTTTCTATGCTTTGCACGAACGAGTGCTAAGAAGTCAAAAATAGCTGCATGAAAGATGATTAAGAGCTTCTTCATACGTATGCATGTTTTTTTCTGCATGGAGATGCACATTATATTGAGCATTGCTATTTATACTCAATGGGCCTTTAATGCACACCCACAAACCCACGTACTAACTTACTTCATTTTTTCCCAGCACACTACAATGCTGTGAATGGGTTCTTTAAAACATGTGCTGCAGTGCACAGGGAGGCTGGTGCATCTGTTTAGGACATCAATGTGCATTTGAATGCCATTGAAAATGAACAACAATGGGTAGACTTCACTTTTATTGAAGTTGCCCTTTAAAGGTTGCCCCCACCCCTGAGTGGCAACCACTGTGCTAAAATACTTACTTTTAGCACCACTCTTGAGTTCTCCATTGTGCAACCCTACACAGCCTTTGCAGAAAAAAAAAGTCCCAGCTGTGTTCAGCTCCTACTGCACATGCGCACAGGTCAGCACATTCAATCCTATGCCAGGTCATTACTTACGATGGTTCTAAGCCATCCATTGGTACGGCTTTAGCCATTGGAATAAATAGAAAAGTGCATGTGCAGTAGGAGCAGGACTTGGCCAGGACTTTTATCTGGCAAAGGCTGTGCCAGTCCGGGCCAGGCCGTACAGTAAAGAAATTGGATAAGGGGCTGAAGTGAAGTGTTTTGGTAGGTGGATGCCACTTGGGGGTGGAGGAAGGCTTAATGAGGAGTACAAAATGCACACAAGACTATGAATAAGTTTGAAATGTCGCTATAGTTTTTAGTTGTTAAATAAATGCATAAATGTATTGCCCTAGGTTTCTCTTTCCACTACACTTAAGTGAGAAAAAAATGCTAATTTTTGTTTGGATCAGTAGGAATGTGATGACATAAAAGTGGCACTTGTTTTACAAAGGCAATTGCTGTACTTACAGCTGACAGGCGAGAAAAGCATGACAATGAACACAAACCAAACCACCGCAGAGTGAGCTGACCAGATGGACACACATCAGAATTAATGTGGTTCTACCTTTATAGTATACCTGTCACTCAAATACAGAGGAAGCATCTGTGCCAAAATCCAGCATATAAATTCACTACAAGCAAAGACATCAATGCAAAATGAGTCAGTGACACAAAGTGGAACTATAGGAAAAATAGAAAATGACATACATGGTGCAGTCTGTTGTGTGCAATAACACAGCAGTATTTGTTTTGTTGTAATATGGTTTTATTACCTGTTGGTCCTGCTGGTAGTGATATCTATTATACAGTGGGCCATAATCCTAGATACGGGTACCACACCCCTAGAATGTCTCAACTACAGATGGCATGAAATGGGGCTTTAACGATACCCACATAAGGAAATTACACAAATTGCAATAAAATGTAACTTTTTAATTATACAGATTAAAATATACACATACTGTATATACAAATATTATGAACCAGAACAAACTCCATGAAATAGGTTAACACATCTCCTGTAAACCCACAGATCTATGTACAACTGGCATATCAGGTAATAATCTTAACTTTCATATCATAGAGTATGACAAGTCCATCATTGTCAGATTTGATTGATTACACTGTAGGTGTTGCCGTTGTGGGCTTAACACTCAACTTATTTTTGCTTTAATGGCTTCTTCAGGAGAGAGGATATGTTCACAAAAGAACCACATGAGCACGGAGAAATGAGTCGACAAGAAGAGTTGACGTCACCCCAATGGCGGAGAGGGCCACAAGAGGGAGCAACCCGAAGACACTGATGGCCAAGGACTCCTCTCAGATATCTTGGTATAGTGATCTGACCATCTGCATCCCCATTGGAATGAGTCTAAAGTCAAACATCTGATGCAGTTTGCGGGGGGGGG